TAGGTGAACATGCTCTGGTTCGCTGGAGGCTGCCGAGGCTGGTCGGGATTCGGCTGCGCTTGCAAAGGGAATCAATGAACCCAAAGCTACTCCCGGCGAAGGCTAGTCTGGCTGCAGGCGGCTGCGTAGCCCCCGCGCTCGCTCGCTCGCTCGCAGAAGCCGCACTCGCGCCACGCCGACCTTGAACTCCGACAATTCCTTCTCCAGCCCCCCAGCCTCCCCTCCTCCAAGCCCCTACCCCGCCAGAGCGCCTCAGTGACAGGGCAACTGTTTTGATGGTCTGCTCTTCACCTCCCGGCCGAGTCAAAACGCCAGCCGAGTTGCCTGGAAAGAGCGTGCAAACTGGCTCTGAGCGATTATGGAACTGTGCGAACGTGGCCGCCCCGGGCCGGCCCGCGAGGCTGAGGCCAGTCACTCGGTTTGTAAAAGGCTAAACAAATGGGTCCCGCAGCAGGCGAAACAGGCCACTCTGGCGGTCGCGCTGCCTGCCTGCTTTCGCCCTCCTTCACAATCACCTGGAAAGGGGGGCGGGGGCGGGGGGAGCGCCTGTCGACCTCTCTTTATAGTCGGGTCCTTTTGTGACTCGCAGACAGTAGGGAGTTCGGTGGAGGGGTGGGGGTGTCTGCTGTATTTCCAGTGTGATTTGAGCACAATCTTTGTGTTTACACGCACGCTTAGAGTCTGTTTGGGTATCTTTTCTGGGGGAGAAGAAAAACTTTAGTCGCCCGAGGGTTACTTCTCTCCAGATTCATAACTCAACGCCCAACTGAGCAAAACTCTTAATTTTCAACTCTCCCCCCCACACACACCCTTCTTGGCTCCGGCAAATATTCACCTCGATTTAAATGATGGTTCTGGTGACTCGGCCGGAATCATACCAAAGACTTGTTTATTTCTAATTTGCAAATTGCGGGCACTCTGATTTTAAAGACTGTTTTTCCGTGAGGAACTTTCAAAAATCTTGTTTTCTTCCAAAGAACTGGACATTTCTTATAGGAAACGGAACTCTTCAGAAAGCAGTAAGTTGCAACCCTGTTAAGTAGTATTTTACTTTGTAATCGAATGTTACTCACAGTGGATGTCTTGGTTATCTTAGAGTTTAACAGGAGGTTAAGAGATCTCCATACAATAGTCTTGCATTCATGGCTTCCTAATATGCCCGGAAAGAATTAAGAACAACTTTGTCCTTGTTTTTGGGAGAAAAAGTCCCGCGTAGGTAGTATGGACTGATTTCTGGGTCCTGGGGAGGGGACTTTCGTGAGTATGACTGTGATTCGTAGACAACTGACCCAGACGGAGGCTCAGACACCAGAACTTGGGGCAGAAGTTTTAACCAAGGCGTCTGTATTTAGTTGCATTTTATTGTAATCCTCATGTTTACTGGCATAAAAGGCACTGAAGACGACCTTGACTTGAAGATAGTTTGGAACATTTCACGAAATACTGGTCAAGAAAAATACGTACACATGTAAGTCTATTTTAATACACTTTTATAATAGGACATAAAATAGGCAGCACTTTAAATAGTAAGCTATAGTACTGTATACATTTTCTGTTCGTTTGATACAAGCATTTTGTATTCTTGTATCTTTTTGGAAAACATGATAAGCAATCAGTTGACTTAAAAAACCGGACTGCAATTTTCAGCTGCATCCAGAGGGGGCGCCAAAAGCCCAGAAACTGTCTCAACTCGCAGAAACTGCAGGGAAACTTGGATAGCGGCGGCGGAGGGTGTGTGTCCCACTCCATCACGACGGCTCTGCCGCTGAGATTTATCTGCAGAAATTCCGACACGGTATGCCCTCCCGTGAGGATCCACCTCCGGGCAGCCCAGTTAGGGGAGCTGGGAGGTGCGTGTCTATAGAGGACCCGGCCGGTAAAAAGCGCGCTCCCGGTGCCTGACGTTTCTATTCTGCACAGAACGTGGGGAGGAGACCACAGGAAGGGTCCCCCCACCCCCACCCCCCTCCCAGGTGCCAGGCGTTGCCCTCTGCTAGGCGTGCTAGGGCCAGGCCGAGTGGGACACGTGGAGACCATCGATTAGCCAGTGAGGCCGCCCTGATTGTCTTCAGGGGCTTGGGTGCCAACTCCCCCGCCCCCCTTCAGGGGCTCGGTGCGCTCCGGTGTGACTTTCCCGTCAGTCGCCCCTGACTTTTCTTCCCGGCCCCGGAAGACGGCGGGGGTGGGGGCAGGAACCCTTTCCCCAGAGTTGAGGCTGCAGATGGGGAAATTGAGGCCCTTGGCCCAGTGTTAGCCGGAGCCTTCTGCCAAGAGCTAAACGCTGTTGGGACCCGCGTCTGGTGGGGCCGAGGAAGGGAAAGGGAAAAGCAAGCGGCTGCCCTTCGCACGTAGCAAGGACGCGCGTTCGGCCCAGGCACCTGAGCCAGCGCGCGTGTCTGCTCGGAGTGAGACCTGAGTGCGAGCGGACCCCAGGGG